CAGGAGCCCCATCCCGCAGACCACAAATTTTGAATGTGCCCACCTGAGGGTGGGTGACCGGGACAGAATAGGGATTCTGCTAGTGTACCGTCCACCTCGCTGCACTACAGTCTCCCTACCTGAGCTAGCGGGGGTAGTCTCGAGCCTGGCGTTGGAGTCTCAACGGCTCTTGGTGCTGGGGGACTTCAATATCCATGCCGAGGCGACCCTCACAGGAGCGGCTCAGGACTTCATGTCGGCCATGGCAACCATGGGGCTGTCCCAACAAATATCTGGCCCCACCCATTGTGCTGGACACACATTGGACTTGGTTTTCTGTCAGGGATGGGAGCAGGGTGGCGGTGTGGAGGAGTTGTCTATCTCTCCGTTGCCATGGACTGACCACTTCCTGATCAGATTTAGGCTTACTGCACCCCCTAACCTCTGCAAGGGTGGAGGACCCATTAAGATGGTCCGCCCCAGGAGGCTTATGGATCCGAACGGATTCCTGACGGCTCTTGGGGATTTTCCCGCCTCCGCGGTAGGTGACCCTGTCGAGGCCTTGGTCGCTCTCTGGAATGGGGAGATGACCAGGGCAATTGACATGATCGCTCCGGAACGTCCCCTCTCAAGTAGCCGAGCTAAACCAGCCCCTTGGTTTACTGAGGAGCTGGCAGTGATGAAGCGAAGGAAGAGGGAACTGGAGAGCGTGTGGCGTTCAGACCCAAGCGAGTCAAATCGAACACGGTTTGTGTCCTTTCTAAGGGCATACGCCGCGGCAATAAAAGCCGCAAAGAAAACCTTCTTTGCAGCTTCTATTGCGTCTGCAAAGAACCGTCCGGCGGAGTTGTTTCGGATTGTCAGAGGTCTTTTAACTCCCGCCACTTCAGGCGGGAGCCCTGACAATTCGGTCACGCGCTGTGAAGCATTTGCTCGGTTCTTTGCAGACAAAGTCGCTTTGATCCGTTCTGAGCTGGACGCCATGTTAAATGCAGTCTCTGTGGATGTGACACGAGCACCTGCTTGTCCTATTTTGTTGGATTCTTTTCAGTTTGTGAAACCCGAGGATGTGGACAAGATACTTGGAGGAATGAGGCCCACCACGTCCATCCTAGACCCCTGCCCATCCTGGCTTCTGAAGGAGGCCAGAGGGGGATTGGCTGAGTGGGTAACGGTGGTGGTTAATGCCTCCCTTCGGGAAGGCAAGATTCCAGCGTGCTTAAAACAAGCAATTATAAAACCGCTGTTGAAGAAACCATCACTGGACCCCACTAAATTCGACAACTTTCGGCCTGTTTCCAATCTCCCCTTTTTGGGCAAAGTCATGGAAAGCGTGGTGGCCTCACAACTCCAGGTATTCTTGAGAGACACGGATTATCTGGATTCGGCACAGTCTGGTTTCAGACCGGGACATGGAACTGAGACGGTCTTGGTCGCCTTAGTGGATGATCTGCGCCGGGAGCTAGACAGGGGGAGTGTGTCCCTGTTGGTGCTCCTGGACCTCTCAGCGGCCTTCGATACGTCGACCACGGTATCCTTCTGGGGCGCCTTGCGGAAATGGGTCTTGGGGGCACTGCTCTGCAGTGGCTCCAGTCATTTCTGGAGGGTCGTACCCAGAAGGTGTTATTGGGGGACTCCTGTTCAACACCACAGCCTTTGACCTGTGGGGTTCCACAGGGTTCTATACTGTCCCCCATGCTGTTTAACATCTACATGAAGCCGCTGGGTGAGATCATCCGGAGTTTCGGGGTGCGGTGTCATCTGTACGCAGATGATGTCCAACTCTGTCACTCCTTTCCACCTGCTACTAAGGAGGCTGTCGAGGTCCTGAACCGGTGCCTGGCCGCTGTAATGGTCTGGATGAGGGCGAAAAAACTGAAATTAAATCCAGACAAGACAGAGGTACTCCTGGTCAGTCGCAAGGCCGAACAGGGTATAGGGTTACAGCCTGTGCTGGACGGGGTCGCACTCCCCTTGAAGGCGCAGGTTCGCAGCTTGGGTGTGACCCTGGATTCATCTTTGAGCCTGGATCCCCAGGTTTCAGGAGTGACCAGGGGAGCATTTGCACAGCTTCGGCTCGTGCGCCAGCTGCGCCCGTATCTTGGGAAGTCTGACTTGGCCACGGTGGTACATGCTCTGGTCACATCCCGTCTTGACTACTGCAACGCTCTCTACGTGGGGCTGCCCTTGAAGACGGCCCGGAAGCTTCAGCTAGTCCAGCGCGCGGCAGCCATGTTACTAACGGGAGCGGGACGCAGGGAGCACACAACGCCCTTGTTGTCCCAGCTCCACTGGCTGCCGATCTGCTACCGGGCCCAATTTAAGGTGCTGGTGTTATCCTACAAAGCCCTAAACGGTTCCGGCCCAAAATACCTTTCGGACCGCATCTCGGCCTATGAGCCCACGAGGGCCTTGAGATCATCCGGGGAGGCCCTTCTCTCGATCCCGCCCGCCTCACAGGCACGTCTGGCGGGGACGAGAGAGAGGGCCTTCTCAGTGGTGGCCCCCCGGCTGTGGAACACCCTCCCTGTTGACATCAGACAGGCGCCCTCCCTTATGGCTTTTCGTAAGAGCCTAAAGACCTGGCTATTCGAGAAGGCATTTAATTGAGACCCACACGAATCTGGTAATGACATTTGGAACGGACTATGGATTATGAGATTGGCTATGATTCTATGTTGTGATGGCGCGGATCTATTAGTGTGATTTAGATTAATGTGTAATTTGGTTGTTGATATATTGTATGTTTTGTAGACTGTTTTTACATGTTGTACACCGCCGCGAGTCGCCCCAGGGCTGAGAGCGGCGGTCAACAAATGAAGTAAATAAATAAATAAATAAATAAATAAATAAATATAACTGCTGAATAGAATACCTGGCTATACCTTTTGAACAATTATTATATAGGCTGAGAATCCCTTATCCAGAATTCTGAAATCTGAATAGGGATGGCTAAGATAGTAAGACGTTTGCTTTTAGGTAGTTCAAAAATATGCAAACTTTGCTTCATGTATAAAATTATTAAAAATACGATAGAAAATTACCTTCAGGCAATAACATGTGTGTGAAACACAAATGAATTTTGTCTTTTAGACTTGGGTCCCATTTCTGAGATATCTCATTGTGTATGAAGTATATCCAAATACATGTGTTCCATAAAGCGAAATCCAAAACATTTCTGGTACAAGATACTCGAGCTGCATCTACTCTGTTTCCCAGAAAACAAGACAGCGTCTTATATTAATTTTTGCTCCCAAAGATGCGCTAGGTCTTATTTTCAGGGGATGTCTTATTTTTCCACAAAGAAGAATTCACATTTATTGTTGAACAAAAAAAATGACATTATTTATATACTGTACAGCAGTTGACATCACAAACCAGCATAACCAGACAAACTGTGAATAATAATAATAATAATAATAATAATAATAATAATAATAATTTATTTATATTCTGCCTTCTCACCCCGAAGGGGACTCACAGTAGACACACATGGCAAACATTCAATGCCATTTTTTTGGACAGGACAAAGACAGAACAGAAAGGAGGTATATTGTGTTGTCTGGACATCCAGTTAAACATCCACCTTGTCGGCGCCTTTGGAAGTTGCTAGCCATAGTGGGGCGCTGTCACTCCATTCTCTATGATGAAGAACCATCAGGACTTCCTCCTTCCTTTTGGTCACCGGCATTCTTTGACCTTTTTCTTTTATAGTGTTGTGAAATATCTCCCCCGCATTAGCACTACCTAAGTTCTCTAATCATAGCTGTAAGCTGTTTTTGAACTACTTAGGTAAACAGTGAGCAGGGCTGACAGTCGGCAATAGACGTACCAAAAATATAAGAGATTTCTTAATTCATACTGACTTAACTACTCCCCCCATTATGCCCAAAAGTACCTTGACAGGCCACTACCCTTGTGGACATTGTAAATGCTGCTCACAATCCTGGAAGACTAAGGAGGTCTATAACTATAGAAACAAAGTGGGCACTATACATAAAACATTTCTCCACTTGCAACAGTAGCAATGTCATTTACCTTTTGACATGTGATTGTGATCTGTGGTATGTTGGCAAAACGACTAGACCCCTAAGAATCAGAATCTCAGAACATAAATGTCTTTCTACCAAATCCTCTTTATATTCACACTTTACACAATATAATCACTTACCTAATTCTTTTAAATTTTGTGCTCTGGAATGTATTGCTCCAAAACCTTATATGGACTTGGAGAAACTATTATCCCAGAGGGAAATATACTGGATTTTCAAGTTTAAAAACTTTTCTCCCCAGGGATTTAATGAATTAATGAATTTTCCGGACCCAATTCAAGGCGCAGGTTCTTACCTACAAAGCCCTGAACGGTTTGGGACCCACTTACCTGCGTGACCACATTTCTATATACGAACCCACACGATCTCTTCGATCATCTGGAGAGGCCCTGCTCTCGATCCCACCAGCATCGCAGGCGCGATTGGTGGGGACGAGAGAGAGGGCCTTTTCGGTGGTGGCCCCTCGACTCTGGAACTCACTCCCTAGGGACATCAGGCAGGCCCCAACTCTGGCAGAGCTTGAAGACATGGTTGTTCCAGTGTGCTTTCCCAGAATAATGATCCCATAGCACTTTGTCCTCTGAAGCACTTTACATTTTAGGTCTGCTTGTATGTTTTCCACAAACGCCACTACCACCTTTTCGTCCATGCTCCAGCATTATTTTTAATTTTAATTTTACATTTGGCATTCCCACAGTTTTAATAGTGTGTTGTCTTATTGTTAATGTTGCAGGTAGAGATGGAAGAAACAGGTAGAGATGGAAGAAAGATGAGACATAGGGAAAGAAAAAGAAGAAAGGAAGGAAAGAGAGAAAGAAGGAGGGAAGGTTGGCCACAGCAACGCGTGGCAGGGCACAGCTAGTTCCTATTGATTTTCTAACTCCACATGCTTTTCTAAAATGATACTTTGCCACTCCTTGAGCAAATCTGCTGTCTTTAAAAATATATATATACAAAAATCACCAGAGGTAGTTTCAATATTTTTATTCAAAGCAGCTTCTCACAAGGTATAAATACTGCATATTAACACACATGAAAAATACAACTTCTAAGGCACCCAGAAAAATGTGTTCATACACTAGGTTACAGGACCATCGACAAATATATTGTGTACAATTTGATCTAGACAGTCAAATATTTGATATATCAGAAGATACATGTCTCTCGGCACTCAACTAATGTCCAAAGGGTTATTTACAACACTGGTTAAGGGGGTGCCCCATACCTTTGCATTCATTACACCGTGGACTCACCATCATCACAATTATTGGAAACTCATTTTATCTTATTCTAGGACATTCAGACAACAAAATAATTGATGGGCTTTATTATTGGGAAATGACTACATTTTAACTCATTAGTGCAAAATTCTAATTAGAAGTCAAATAAGTCATTTTGTTAAACCCCCCCCCCCCATCCCTTTTGGTTATTTGCTTTATTTCCAAGGTTTGGTAATAAGCCTTACCAATAGACATTCAAATGTTTCCTGACTTCCTTTCATTTCTCAACATTTTTAGCAGATAGACCCTAATATGGCTATCTTGCTCTTTCTCTCTCTCCCTGAAATGAGTAAGATGTGATGCAAAATGAATGTCAAAAAGGAATCGACACCTGGTTTTTAATGTACAGGTGACACTGGCTCGTTTTCTGACCAGCGTTGGATTAGGGCAACAGTACTCTTTGGTCCTTAGTTTTCTTTGAATGGAAGATACATACCATACGGTATATATCTACAGTACGTGAACGATATTTCCTTGAAGCCTGTTGACAAGTTCAGTGACTGAGTGGATGACTTTCCATGTATTCGTGAAAGAGATTCAATATGGCTTAAAAACATAGAGTTAATTGGGTAGCGATCACACATCTGGGATACAGAGTACTTAAATGCATTACGATTAAGATTGTCTGTTAAGTCTCTTATGTAAACTTCTTTAGCATCTCTGAAAGATTGGACTTTTATAGATCCAGCCACCCACAAACAGCCTGGGAGTGATTGGCATGGTGGGGTGGACAGTATGTTCACTTTCAGAGAATAACGCCCAGGTCAACAAACCTAACTATGTTGTTTGACAGAAACAACCCGTATTTTCCATTTCACAAGGAAACAACATTAAGGCCTTGCATTCTGACCTGGACTACTGTCTGAATGCAGCTACCAGGGATTGGGGAGGGGGTTCTTAGAGTCCACGTAGAAGTAATGGCAACCCAACATGTTGTATTTTCCAATGTGGATTGTGCCAAATGGTTTCTCCACCCAAATACGTTGAATGGCATTTCTCCATCTTGCTTTGGTGACCAGATCAGGCAAAAGCAGTATAGCAGGAGGAAAAGGTTCTGGCTTAGAGAAACACCTGTGATCAAAGGAGTCAAAGTGAAGTTGCTCTCAACACACTTTCCTTTTCCAACCCAACTGGAACTCCACAGCTAGGACATGCCCGTTTTTCCAAAATGGAAAGTGACTGGAGAGTCACAAGTGACTTTTTTTGGGGAGCAAGCATTATTTAAAGTAGTCTTATATTACAAAAAGATTGTCCCATAGAGACCTCTATCTCAAAGAGAGGGTGGATGGTGTCACAGTCTGAATACAATTTTTGTGTACAACAAGATGCTTGACCACACTGGGTTATTGTAAGTCTTTTGTGTACAACAAGGTTTTTGTGTACAACAAGATGTTTGACCATACTGGGTTGTTGGAGGCATGACCACACTGAATTGTTGCAGGTTTTTCGTGCTCTATGGCCATGTTCTACAAGCATTCTCTCCTTATGTTTCGCCCACATCTATGGCAAGCATTTTCAGAGGTTGTGAGGTTTCACAACCTCTGAGGATGCCTGCCATAGATGTAGGTGAAACGTCAGGTGAGAATGCTTCTAGAACATGGCCACATAGCCCCAAAAACCTACAACAACCCAGTTATCAGATTTCCACCTGATGTCTTGAGTGAAGCTTCTCTATCCAACTTTTTAGCTCTTGGAAGTTGTCTTTTAATAGAGAAGAGTGCCCATGGAGACCTCTATTTTGGGGATTTGGGGGGGGGGGGGGAAGGGAGGTGTGATGTGATTGTGGAAGGTCTGAGGTCTCTCTGAAAGGCAGCAGATGACCTATTGGCTACACCAGTGGTTCTCAACCTGGGGTCCCCAGATGTATTTGGCCTTCAATTCCCAGAAATCCTAACAGCTGGTAACTGGCTGGGATTTCTGGGAGTTGTAGGCCAAAAACATCTGGGGACCCCAGGTTGAGAACCACTGGCTACACGGTTCCAACACATGTTCTATAGTGGCCATATTACTCCAAATGCAATTTTTGTGTGCAACATGGTCTACTATTTACTACTACAACTATTTACACCAGTGATTTCCAACCTTTTTGTGCCCACGGACCATTCTCCAACATTAGTACCACATCAGCTCTAGTTTCTGATACAGAACATATGTCATCCAGTAGTCACCATTTGCTCGCCCACAGAAAGCCATCTATATAAATAAAAATGTAATGTTTTGTGGGACTGAAATAACTTAAAAACCACTGGACGAATTGACACCAAATTTGGCCACAAGATACCTATCAGGCCAATGAGTGATCACCACTAATAAAAACCAAAACAAAACAACAACATGTGACCATCGTTCGTAAAAACAAAAAACAAACAAACAAACAATGGAAAGGACTTAACCCCCCCCCCCAGACCCCAAAAAGACATTACAACGCATGTACAAAAACGACTCCAGGGCCCTGCCCCCCTCCATTTCTACTTGAATGTTGCAATTGTCCATCTGGATTACCTTCTGGTTTCTACTAGCCAGCAGGAAACCTGTAGTGGGAGGAGTTCCCTAGCCCAAATTGTTTCATGTCTGGGAATCTTCTGTTTTTTGAGGGCCACAGCAACATGGGCCATAGCTAGTATTTAATGATTTAGAGCTGCAAACCTTATTTTAGGACTAGTGGCCCCTCAGTACGCTGCGGCCTACAAGTTGAGAATGACTGCTTTACATCATGAGGTTTTCACCCAAAGTCTTGGTTGGAGTCCTTCCACCCAACCCTTTGGACAGGAACCAGTTTTTGCTCCTTAATCCACTTCCAAATATGGGGAAATATGTAGTGAAACAAGGTACACTCAGTCGGTAGCTCAAGGAACTCTGGGAAGGACCAGATAAGAGTTGGAAAGGAAGTCCCCATGAACTCTGGTTGGGCATTAGACACAGTTGTTGATGACTTTGCCTAGTTGGAGAGGGTCACTGACCTTCTATGGTCCAGATAAGGCCTATGGTTGGTTTCCTCCCTATTCAAAGACATGCTCTGCTGCCATCACTTCTAGGTGGACCCATCTTACAGATCAGTTAACAATGTTTTGATTCAAACTAGTGGTAAGGCTTATTCACAAATGCAATAAATTTACAAATTTATAGCTCAACTCGCGTATTTTAAGGCTGAACTGAAAAAAAATCCAAACAAAAACAAAAACTGCCTGCATATATCTATAAGGATGTGAGAAAATATTATTCCAAGTGGAAAACAATTGACACCAGCCTCTGAATGTTAGACGTTAAAAGAAATGGTTAATAGTCTTGGAAAAGATTGCCTAAAACGCTTACCCTAATCTACCACGGAAATATAAAAGTTTATATTTTTGAAAATATATACTGTATTAAAGTCTGAAAGCTTATTCATTGAAACAGAGGGATACCCAGCTAAGCCACACTTTTATGTACAGCAAAAATATACATGCAAGACGAAGTCACGGAAATAAATTGCTTACCTTTCCATATCTACAAATGAAAAAAAAATTGCAAGTTTTAAAAAGATCTGTACAAAGCCATTTACATAAAATAATACAACATAATTAACAATTTGCATTTATAATAATAATTATTAAATACTGTGAATATTCAATAAAGGTATTTGATTTAGTATGTACAGGACACACAGAGAGTTCAATACCCAGTGATGGCAGAAAGATAAATCTAGATGAAAAACGTGTTTTCTTAAAAAGATCAATACAACCCCTCTTTAAAAAAAAATCAAATTCAAATTAGATTAATGATCTCTGTGTCTTTTTTTAAACAAAAGTGTTTTAAACTTTTAGTCACTCATTTTCCAAGAAAAGTATGACAATAGGAGTAATTTTGAAAATACTGTTGAAGAAACTATTAATAGTGAAAAATCAAGTGTGTTATGCTATGGAAATTGCTTGTTCTAAAACCAAAATTGCAAGATTCTGTTGACACAATTCATCCTGTCAGTTTGCTCATTTTGGGGGGTGTATCATTTGTTTAGGAACATGAAAATCTATACACATAATTTTCAGGCAGGCATCCCAGGGTTCCTTTCTCTCTCCACTGGGGTGGGATTTGCATGAATCCCACTGCCTCTCCCTTAACCCTTTCCTATCCTTTTCTATGGCACACAGCAAACAGAGAGAAATTGATCAGCAACTAAACAGACTGGAGGGGTTTGGGGGACTGACTCAACAGGATGGAAGTTGTAGTTCACCCTGCATCAAGGCAAGAGCACTGTAAAAAAAATGAAATCAAAGACTGGCTTCTTTCTAATAGTGTTACTACTTAACTACATGATATGACCTAACATCCCAAAACAAACCATGCCTTTTTCAAATAACCCGGGCACCGCTGGGTGCCCAAGCTAGTATAATATAAAAGATGATCTGTCATATCTTTTGCATCACTCTTCCTTAGCGCCATATATTACATACTTATTCCTACCAATGCATATTGATGAATATGATGTCAGCTTCACAATCTGAGTTGTAATATGTTGAACCAGGCTATAGTAGTAAATGATACATGAATTGGTCGACCCAAGTTACCATTATACGAGGGTTGAATGAAAAGTAATGCCTCCACCTTCGTAACTCCTCAACAGATGGCAGTACTGGTATGTGGCAGGCACTGGCTTGTTCAGTAGACTCCCCTCTACAGTTCCATTTTGGCGGGATGCCTTAGCATTGAACAGTTGTGTTGTTAATTATCTAGTGATGGAGGCCAGAATAAACTATGCTAGACTATGGAGAATGAAAGAAATCCCGTGTCAAGAACATTGGCTAATGAAAATCCTAGAGATTATGAACATGGACAAACTAACCCAATGGATGAATATAAAGAAGTATGTTAAAATACTGGACACCAATAAAGAATTTTATGATACAAGAGAATCTGAAATAGATGAGAGAGATAAGATAAATTTTAATAAGAAATGCTCTTAGGAGAGACTATGTAAAGAAGTTGCCAAACAATCAAGAGTGATCTAATTACTAAAGAAGATTAAATCAGAGGCGAAGAAGATTGGAAGTCGAACTAAACCCCCTACCCAAACCCCAACCCCAAGCTTCAAGAGTGGGTTCTTTTTTTCCCCTCTTTCCTTTTTCTTCTACTGGCCATATCTTTATACTTTCCTACTTTTCTATACAAACTAAATGTTCCCCCTCTTTTATTGTATCTGAAAAACTTTATATATATATATATATATATATATATATATATATATATATATATGTGCAAAGTATGGAACCCTGCACAGACGGTCGGTCAATGCGACTTAAGCAACATGCAGTCACTGAATTCTTGATGGCAGAAGCTGTCACCTCAACATCTTTAAACTTACTTGCCCAACAACGCACAGTACTCACATCAACACAATCACCATAAACAGCTTGCATTCTCTGATGAATGTCCTTTGGGGAGACACCTTCTGCTGCCAAGAATTCAATGTTCTCTTAGTTACATCCCGAATAGATTACTGCAACGTGCTCTACGTGGGGCTGCCTTTGAAGATGGTTCGGAAACTTCAGCTTGTTCAATGGTTGGCAGCCAGACTACTAACTGGGGCGACATACAGGGAGAATACCACCCCCCTGTTGTGCCAGCTCCACTGGCTGCTGATCCACCTCCGAGCCCAATTCAAAGTGCTGGTTTTGACCTATAAAGCTCTATACGGTTCTGGCCCAGCTTACTTGTCCGAACGCATCCACCCCTATGTCCCACCTCGAAACTTAAGATCATCCGGGGAGGCCCTGTTCTCGCTCCCGTCAACAGCACAAATGTGCCTGGCGGGGACGAGAGACAGGGCCTTCTCGGCGGTGCCCCCCCCCCCCCGCCTATAGAACACACTCCCAACTGAGGTAAGATCGGCCACCTCCCTCCTAGTTTTTCAAAAGAAACTAAAACCATGGTTTTGGGACCAGACTTTTGGACAATAGATGCAAACAGCACTTTAAGGGAATGTGACTGGAATGACGATATGACTGATGAGACTGTTTTACTGTTTTAATGATGGCTTATGTATTGTTAATTATGCTTTTATGTCTAATTGTGGTTTTAATTTTGTAATTTGTTATGAATGGCTTCGGAATGGGGCCCATTGTAAGCCGTCCTGAGTCCCCTTTCGGGGGTTGAGAAGGACGGGATAGAAATGTGAAAAATTAATAATAAATAAATAATGACTGCATGTTGCTTAAGTCGCATTGACTGACCATCTGCACAGGGTTCCATACTTTGCACTTTAACGACACAACCGTTCAATGCTAAGGCTTCCCACCGAAATGGAACTGTAGAGGAGAGTCTACTGAACAAGCCAGTACCTGCTGCATACCAGTATTGCCATCTGTTGAGTTACGAAGGTGGAAGCATTACTTTTCATTCAACCCTCGTGTGTGTGTGTGTATGTGTGTATATGTATATATATATAAGCAGACAATAAGAGAATCAACAGCCTTTTTCATGACTGAAGAAACTGATCTGGGCTTCCAACACATACAGATATTGTGGGGCCGTTCCACAAACCATCTTGCATATCGCTTGCCAAAATTATTTGAACAAATATTAACCAGATGCAGCATTCATTTGCACAGAAACTTTCATAGACATATTCTAACTAGACGGTGGAGGTCTGCCAAATATAAATCAAGAAACAGAATAAAACGCAAGCAAAAAACCAGCAGCTTTGAGACGTGAAACAAGACGGAATTAAATGGAAAGTGTTTTGTACCGAACATAAATCAGCCAACGAAAAAAAACTCACAATAACAACAAAAACGTACAGAAGTCTCTCTCTCTTGTCCATGAAAGCGATTGAAATGAGAGATAATGTTGACCTTTTGTTCCCTGTATCCCTCTCTCTTCACCATTTTAAACAAACGAGTGTTTAATTGGTGTAATCAATTAAGCACGGAATAAACCACATATTAAAGCCATGGCATTCCTCTTATTTTCCTGAAGGAACATTAAGCAAGTATGTCCATACTTAATACCTGTGGGCACAACTTCCTGCATACACGGAGTGGATGGAGCTGCTGCTTTGGAACACACAACAGCAGTTCATCCCTTCTCTCTTTATTGTTTGTACAGCTCCATTTACTTACAGTAGACCAGTGGTTCTCAACCTGGGGGTCGGGACCCCTAGAGGGGTCGCGAGAGGGTGTCAGAGGGGTCGCCAAAGACCATCACAGACAGTATTTTCTGTTGGTCATGGGAGTTCTGTGTGGGAAGTTTGGCCTAATTCTATCGTTGGTGGGCTTCAGAATGCTCTTTGGTTGTTGGTGAACTATAAATCCCAGCATCTACAACTCCCAATAACGATTCATAACAGTAGCAAAATTGCAATTATGAAGTAGCAATGAAAATAATTTAATGGCTGGGGGTCACCACAACATGAGGAACTGTATTAAGGGGCCGCAGCATTAGGAACGTTGAGAACCACTGCAGTAGACCAAAGAGCTTGTACAGTTGTCTCATCCTGGGCAATGTTATTATAATTGTATCAATGATCATTCTAATAGTATCTGAAGGATATCAAGAGTCTAATGTGTCTGTGTGTGTGTTTCTGCACACACCTACACACACTGAGACGTAAACATGCACACAAATAAATAAATTAAATAAACTCAGCAAGACGGGGAAACAACAAGGATTCCAAGTAAGTTTCTTTGTTGCAAAATTATTATTATTATTACGAATTATTCTACATCGTAGATATAAATTAAATTCCACTCCACTCTACCCATTCATTCATTTTTTGAAAAGAACAAAAGCAAGCTTGAAAAGAAGAGTCTGACCCAATGTTGAAACCAAGCAATATAAAGACAATTTGCTTATAGTTGCCAAAAAAATAAAAAATGATCCCATTAAAAATAAAGAGATTACAAAGAAATTGAGATTTGCAGTGTGGCTTCAAGGGGACAATATTAGTGCTTTTCCAGCAAGTGGAATGTATAGTTTTCTTGAGCCATCAGTGCATTTAAATGCCTTTCCCAGCAAAGGCTGAGGATGTTATAACATATCCGTCACTCTTTCTTGTTGAGTGAGAACCAGTTCTGTTGGGAAAACCACTGAGCTTTGCCATTGAACTCACAAGGAAATCGACACAATCGTAGGGACATCAGACACACTGCCACAAATTCCTCGGAAGGATTTCTTGGATATAGTTTGACTTTTGTATCTTTTTTTCCTAAGCCTTTCAGAGGCTTGAAATCTTTCTCCCCCTTTGAAATTTTTTTTTTTTGCTTTACTCTTTCAAGTCGCGAAACCATGTCAGACTTCATAAATTTTGTCTTGCAGATAGCTGAAGAGGGAATCCAACCCTTTGGAAGAACTCCAGAGCTGTTTTAACATCTGACATTCCTTCTCGTTCACATCTTCAAGGCCAGATTTTAGGAAACTCCGAACCAGGCATTTAGATTCTTCCAACACCTGGAGGAAAAACAAATTATAATCTTGCTAGGTATTCACATTCAGAGAGGAAAAGAGCAGCATGATTCAAATGCTTTCTAGAAATGGTAGGTCTGAGATTGTAAATCTGGAACCCTTGGTTTGATTTCGGAAGCCCTCTCCAAGTGATGAGTCCAATATATAGTAAGCACCGGGACTGTGGCGCAGCTGGCTGGGAGTCAGCTGCATTAAGGTCACTACTGACCGAAGGGTCATGAGTTCGAAGCCAGCCCGCGTCAGAGTGAGCTTCTGACCAATTTGTGTAGCTTGCTGTCGACCTCTGCAGCCCGAAAGACAGTTGCATCTGTCAAGTAGGAAATTTAGGTACTGCTTATGCGAGGTGGCTAATTTAACTAATTTACGAGGCCATAAAAGTCTCCAGCAAGCATGCAAAGAAAGAGGAAGTACTTCATCAGTGTCACAAATGGACTTAATCAGTGTCACAAATAGTGTGAGAGAATTGGCCGTCTCCAAGGGCATTGCCCAAGGGACGCCCGGATGTTTGATGTATTACCATCCTTGTGAGAGGCTTATTTCATGTGGGAAGCTGGAGCTGACATACAGGAGCTCATCCTACTCCCCGGATTCAAACCACAAACTTTGTGGTCAGCAGTCCTGGTGGCAAAAGGGTTTAACCCATTGCGGCACCGGGGACTCCTGTAAAAATGTAATACATTCATTGAATCTATACCTCAGCTATGTTTTTTCAGCCGTATTGTTTTTATATTGCTTTTGTGTTGTTATTTGTTATAGCATATGTTTTAATTGGTTAAAGTGTTTTACATGTGTGTTTTAATTGTAATCTTGGGCGTGTCCCTTGTAAGCCGCCCCGAGTCCCCTAGGGGAGATGGTTGGCGGTGTTGTGACTCAGTTTGACTCTGAGTCTGAAGCTGAGCCCGAAGCTGAGCCCTGTGGGTTTTGTGAGCCAGAGCTCCTACAAGATGAGGAGGAGGATGATGGGTTACAGATTTCTGTACATGCTTCAGACAGGGTTGACGGTGAGGCTGCTGAAGGGGAAACAGCAAGTCAGTTCTCAGGGGAAAATAATGTTAGTGAGACTGATAATGAGAGTGAATTCCCACACGGCCAGGTGGAGATGTCTTTGCCTCCTTTGCCTTCCTATGGTGGCAAAGCTGCAGGACCAAGATAAGGGGTAATAGAGCCTTGAAGATAATGAATTAATGAGAAGGCAAAATCGTCTGCAATTAAGGGTCCGGAGAAGCTCTCGCTTGGCTAGCAAGCAAGAAGCCAAGTCTGCCAAAGGTCATCGCAATGCGTTCATGTCTGCAAAGGGTATTTAGCCTTCTCGCTGACACACAGGGGTTGTCAGTTCAACATAGCTCTTTCTATGCAAACTTCTATGAACTAACCTTGGCTTTAAGCAGCACGCTTCTGGTTTCCTGAGTCTGGGATTTTAGGTCTTGTATTCAACTGTTTTCCATGGACTATTGTTTGATCATTGCTTAAAGGATTATGCTTCATGTTTTTGCCTTTGGATCTTGGGAACTGTGTCTTTGCATTTAAGCCTTATGGAACTTTTGTATTCTTCATGCTATGTTTTGATTTTGCCTTTTCTTCAATAAACTACAAAATCTACAGCTTTGGTGTGGTGGTGTTTGGGAGCAAGGTGAAAACTACCCTGAGTTGCAAAAGGCAGGGTATAATAATAATAATAATAATAATAATAATAATAATAATAATTATGCCCACTGATCAGCCTAAATTTGATGGACCTTTTCGAGCCACAATCTTGTTGCTTCGAAATCTACTTTTTAATGAGAACCTAGAAAAGTCATTTCAAAATTAGTTTCCATTGCATCCCAGTCAGAGACTACTGGCCATGCTGTCTGGAGAGTCTTGGGAACTAGAGTCCAAATATGTAAACAAGCTCTGTTTTGACTCATATCTTTTTGAAAGTATTCATTTTTCTTGTTCCAGTTTGCAATGAGTGCATTAAAAAAAGAGAATGTAAGGATTTTTTAAAAATGGGAAAAGTATTCTTAACCTCCCTCCCTCTTCTGAGTGTAGCATCTTTACAAAAGCAGACAATGAAATGGAAACCCAAGAGATAATGACGGGGAGCGGAGAACCCAGGATCAGGCCTGGAGCATTGCTGGATCAATATACATACTTATCAGTGCAATCCAAAGGAGTTAACAATGCCTTTTCAGTGAGCATTTCTTTTTTGTGCTTTAAGTCAAATGTCTGGGAAGAGATATAATCTGCAATTCATTTAATTAAAACTCCTGAATGTCTCACTGCATTTGAAGCTTTTTTTTTTTTTGCAGTGAAACGAGAAAGCTGTGATCTCTCTTTGTCAGAGAGGTGTAGCAAAGCTACAATAGGTGAGAAGAGCCTCTAAAATCCTGCTTGCAGGGACTGCTACAGCTGAACTGCAGACCTATTCAGATATTCAGACTGGAATCCTGTTGGTGATATATGCAGGCATAATGCTAAATTACTTCTGTGTACGTCTTTTGCTGGTCATTGCAGAAGCAGGTACCTGCAGTCCCCAAGTTACGAACATTGTAGGTTCCGTAGGTTTGTTATTAAGTTGAATTTGTAAGTAAGTTGGAACAGGTAACTCCAGCTATATCTGTATCTGTATCTATCTATCTACTAGTGGCGCAGTGAGTTAGACACCCTCAGCTTGCCAAGGGTCAGTCGCCCTTCCATCCACCCAACAAACAGGAATATATTCCAACCTCCAGTAGTACAGCTGTACTCTATCCTGGGCAGTGGCTCTAGGGGGGGTTATTGTGTGTTTGGTGCTACTGTTCCACCTATGTGCAGAGAAGAGTGTCAACAGCTGCAGATTGACTGAAGGCATCAGTAGAGGAACTATACGGCTCCCTCCTAGAGCCCGAGGTCTTGCTGCGAATATCTCTCAAGCTACTGTGATTTGCACCTGGCACTTTTTCCTATGCCCCCTACCTAATGTCAATTATACTGCCAATCTGCCGATTTCTTGCCAATAAGAATTGCACTGTGTAGGAATACCTCTGTAGTCTAATCCCCATTGCACTGTTGTGAAAGATGACTCGTTAGCACTCCAGCACTTTAATTAACGGTGAGAGTTCTGTTAGTTACTAATGGTGCTATTGTGCGGTCACTTTAATTTTGCATTTGCACTTTACATCGTGTATTATATAATCACTCCCAACAATGGTCGAATGGCCGGGGAAAATTGGAAATGGTTTTATAAGGCCTCCGCCTTTTAAAAGCCTTATAAATTGAACTACAATAATGGCGGAAATGATGGTTTAACAACCGCCCGGGCTATTGACATATCATATAACAGTGCACTAGTGAACTACCAGGATGTGGAGAACGATGGGGGGGGGGGGGGGGGGGAGGGAGTTCCGGTGCTTGGGGGGCCCCCATCGAGGTGATGATGGGGAGGGGGAGATACGGGAAAGGGAGAGTTAAAAAACCAATTCGGCCAATTCGTGAGCAAACCTTAAGAAAAATTCCAAAATGTCCTCCTGACATGGTAAACTTGGGTACCAAGGTAGACGGTCCTCCCGGATTAAAGGTGCTGCTGTTGAACGCCAGGTCTGTCAATGGTAAAACATCAACCATTCAGGATTTAATCCTGGATGAAAAGCTAGACCTGGCGTGCATCACGGAGACCTGGTTAGACAAGGCTGGAGGGGTTAATCTCACCCAGCTTTGCCCACCAGGTTATGCCATGCAACACCAACCGAGATCCGGGGGGCGGGGAGGCGGAGTTGCAATAGTCTATAAAGATTCCATCTCATTGGTCAGGGGCCCAGCCTTACAGTCGACCTTGTTTGAATGTGTCCACCTGAGGCTAGGAGACTGGGACAGAATAGGGCTGTTGTTGGTGTACCGACCACCCTGCTGCACCACGGCCGCCCTACCTGAGCTTGCAGAGTTGGTCTCGGGCCTGGCATTGGAGTCCCAGCGGCTTGTAGTGCTGGGGGACTTCAATGTCCATGCAGAGACCACTCTTTCAGGAGCGGCTCAGGACTTCATGGCTGCCATGGCAACTATGGGGCTGTCCCAATTAATATCTGGACCTACCCACTGTGCTGGACACACACTTGACTTGGTCTTCTGTCAGGGCTGGGAAGAAGGTGGCGGTGTGTAGAAGTTATCAATCTCCCCTTTGCCATGGACTGACCACCACCTGATCAAGTTTAGACTTGCTGCAACTTCTAACCTCCGCAGGGGTGGTGGACCCATTAAGATGGTCCGCCCCAGGAGGCTTATGGATCCAGAAGGACTCCTGATGGCTCTTGGGGATGTTTCTGCTGCCTTGGATGGTGATTCTGTCGATGCCCTGGTCGCTCACTGGAATAGGGAGTTGACTAGGGCAATAGACATGATTGCTCCGGAGCGCCCCCTCTTAAGTCGCCGAGCGAAACCTGCCCCATGGTTCAACGAGGAGCTGGTGGAGCTAAAGCGAACAAAGAGGTGGCTAGAGAGCGTGTGGACGAAAGAGCCCAGCGAGCCAAACCGAACACGCCTACGCCTTTATCTAAGGGCGTATGGCGCAGCAATAGAGGCCGCGCAAAATGCTTTCTACTCGGCCAATATTGCATCTGCAAGGAACCGTCCGGCAGAGCTGTTCCGAGTAGTCAGAGGGTTGTTGAATCCCACCTCGAGTGGGTTCCCTGACGACTCGGCAGCACGCTGTGAAGCATTTGCTCAGTACTTTGCGGACAAAGTCGCTTTGATCTGCGCGGGCTTTGACACCACATTACCTGCAGTCTCTGAGGATGTAACTCAAGCATCTGCTTGTCCAGTTTTGTTGGATTCGTTTCGATCTGTTCAACTCGACGAGGTCATCAGGGTTCTGGGAGAGGCGAGGCCTACCACATGCATCCTAGACCCATCCTAGACTCCATTTGCTTACAGCCCATATCAGTTGTTTTGGAATTTTAAAATGTGTATATGTACTGGAGCAGTCCACACCAGCATGTAGGAAGGAAGTCACATGTTTTCCTTGAGTGAAGAGATATACAGTCATGCGAATATGCACATTTTTGGGGTGCAATTTAAGCACACCTTTTTTACATGTATTTTTGAGATGTTAATGCATATTTTCTTTAAACATCATTTAGCCAACCCCCCTTTTTTCCAGGTTTCTTCTGCATTTTAGGACCTGTGTAGAGGACATATTCATCAGGTTTTTGGGATTAGGCCAAGAATGATTATTAACTTAACTATACTTAATTAAACAGCCATTGATGGATGCTGTCCAGCTCATGGTGGTAGGACTACAAATGTTTTGACAGTAGCTTCTAACCAAAATATTTTAGGTCCCCCCCCCCCCCCAATTAGCCTTTGCTCTACTACACTATCAGGAATGATTTTCTTTTTTTATTATTTCATGACACCTTCACAAGCCACCTGCAGCCTGGACAATTCCCACCACCCCACATTTCTTACCACTGCACTGCAGGATGCCATTTCTTTCACCCTCAGCATCACTTCTTGCCCAAATGTCGTGGGCCAGAAAACTTGTGAGACGAGTCCTCTACTACAGGCTTCTTGTGCTGTGAGCTTCCTTCCACAAAACAGCATTTCATTTGCCTGCAAGGATAAAGTACCCTTTAATTAAATGGATGCTAATGCATCACCAAAAGAGACAGCCAAAGAAAGCATCAATTTGCATAACGTTTGCATGTGCTGATTTCAATGTGTATGTGCAAATTTAGAAATAACTACTACATATGTTGCTGAAGGCTTTCAAGGCTGGAATCACTGGGTTGCTGTGAGTTTTCTGGGCTGTGGGGCCATGTTCCAGAAGCATTCTTTCCTGATGTTTTGCCCACATTAGGCTTGGTTTCTCCTCAAAAAAATGGTTAAAAACTCGTTTTGAATATAGGGGGCACTGGGGTTCGATTCTAAAGTCAATTCCGATTTTCACAGAAAAGAAATGCAAAACTCTTGGAAACCTCTGAGACTTCTGAATCCTTTCGTTTATGGTTTGAAAGTGTTATTTCCTGTTTCATTGGGTGGTCTTTACTTTGAAAGTAGTTGTTTTACTCCAGAAGCAGGGAAAAGCAAGAGGAAGAAATTCCTTCCTTCTCTGGGTTTAAAACTGACTTGAGCTGAGGCCAGAAAATTCCTTCCTTCTCTGGTTTAAAACTGGCTTGATCCCTGCTTCTGATCCCTGGCTTGAGCCGTGGCCAGAAATCAGAAGCAGGGAAAAGCAAACGGAAGAAATTCCTTCCTTCTCTGGTTTAAAACTGGCTTCTGTGGCTTTAAAACTGGCTTCTCTGGCTTGAGCCGAGGCCATGAAATTCCTTCCTTCTCTGGCTTTAAAACTGGCTTCTCTGGTTTGAGCCGATGCCAGGAAATTCCTTCCTTCTCTGGTTTAAAACTGGCTTCTCTGGCTTGAGCTGACGCCAGGAAATTCCTTCCTGCTCTGGTTTAAAACTGGCTTCTCTGGCTTGAGCCGAGGCCATGAAATTCCTTCCTTCTCTGGTTTAAAACTGGATTCTCTGGCTTTAAAACTGGCTTTTCTGGTTTGAGCCGAGGCCATGAAATTCCTTCCTTCTCTGGTTTAAAACTGGATTCTCTAGGTTTAAAACTGGCTTCCTCTTGGCACGTTTCTCTCTTTCACCCTCCATTTGTTTGAGCTGAGGCCAGGAAATTCCTTCCTTCTCTGGTTTAAAACTGGATTCTTTGGCTTGAGCCAAGGCCAGGGACCAGAAGCGGGTAAAAGCTGAATCATTTCCAACTCACTTCCTGAGTCATAACAAAAATGGCGGAAAAAGCTTCGGAAGGGCAAATGGACTTCTGGTTTTTAAAAAAGCTTCAATATTGCTTCAAAAAGGTAATTTTAACAAAATTATTATGAACAACGAGTTATCCGAGCGACTCTATCCATGCCTAGCCCACATCTATGACAGGCATCCTTAGAGGTTGTGAGGTCTATTAGAAACTAGCCAGGTGAGGTTTATATATCTGTGGAATAATGTCCAAGGTGGGAGAAAGAACTCTTGTCTGTTTGGGAACCACTGTTCTAGACAAACAAAGAGCCCCAATGGGCTCGTAGATTCACTCCCTACATCACTTCCCAGCTTTCATAACTTTTCTCAGACTTAAATTGCCAAATTAATGCAAAATGTTACCAGGCAAGTATGATGACACAATTGTCTCATCAGTACTAGACCATGGGGCTAATAAAGGACTCTACAACCGATCTGCCTGTTGGCAGGGGACCACAGTATTTCAAGTGTGTTAGGAAAGAGGTTTGCTCCCCCATGTAATAATAATATAATAATAACACTTTATTTATATTCCGTATATATGTGGACAGCAGGGAAATTTTGATGAGCCCTGGACCATTGAAAGTTTAAACCATAAACAAATAACTGAGCAAGAGTTCAACTAAAAACAAGTTTAAATAATAATAAAAATAAATATCTGAATTTCAATATTCTTTTGTGGCATGATGTACTTCTAATGAGATAGAAATAGTGCTTCTGGAGCAGAATTAGCTCTTGTCAATGCAAAAAAGGGAACCTTATCTGGATCAGGACAAAAGGAAACAAGCAGGAAGTTGACTTACCAGAGCAACGCCCAGTATCTGTGGGAAGGTGTAAGATGAGCAGCCAGCTGGCGTGAGCCGAATCGTTGCATACGGGGTCTGAAACCAAGCCTTTTCACTTGCCCAAACGATATCACAAAGTGGCAATATAGAAGCTCCCAAGCCTAGGGCAGGACCGTTGATTGCCACCACAATTGGCTTCTTAAACTGAATGAACGCTTTTACAAAATCCCTAAAATAGAAAGAGAAAAAAAGCAGGGACAAACCATATTCTAAAATTTCATAGGAAGAGATGAGTTCAGACAGGTAAATAATAATAATAATAATAATAATAATAATAATAATAATAATAATTTATTTATTTATTTATTTATTTATTTGGTACACTTGTATACCGCTAATTTCTCAGCCTAGAACGGCGACTCAATTGCGGTTTACAGCATTTTAAAAACAATCTCAATTTAAAAAACATATACAAATACAATAACAAATTATTGGGCCACCAATAATAATCCCATATATCTCAAGTTAAAATCACAATCCAGAGTTCGTTGTCCATATTTCCTGTCCATAGTCACCAAGATTCGATTTAATTGCCACAGATTAGCCGAATGCTTGTTTGAATAACCATGTTTTGAGTCTCTTCCTAAACACCATCAGCGACGAGGCTGATCGTACCTCTATAGGGAGGGCGTTCCAAAGCCGAGGGGCCACCACAGAGAAGGCCCTATCTCTCGTTCCCGCCAGCCGCACTTCTGAAGCTGGAGGGATAGAGAGAAGGGACTCTCCGGAAGATCTTAGGGTCCTGGTGGGCTGATAGGCTGAGATACGTTCGGATAGATAAGTTGGGCCAGAACCGTTTAGGGCTTTAAAGGCCAACGCCAGCACCTTGAATTGAGCCCGGTAGCATATCGGCAGCCAGTGGAGCTGGTTCAGCAAGGGAGTTGTATGCTCCCTGCGATCAGCTCCTGTTAAAAACATGGCTGCCGCCCGTTGGACTAACTGGAGCTTCCGGACTGTCTTCAAAGGCAACCCCACGTAATAATAATAATAAAGAACTGGTGGGATCACAAGCCTGAAAAAGTTACAGAGAATGAACATGCCAAACTCCTCTGGGACTTCCGGATTCAGACAGACAGAATTTTGGAGCATAATACTCCTGACCTCACAATCGTGTTAAAAAATTAAGTATGGATCGTTGATGTTGCAATCCTAGGCAACAGCAGGATTGAAGAGAAACAACTGGAAAAGCTGACATGATATGAGGATTAAAAATTGAACTGCAAAGACTCTGGCACAAGCCAGTCAAGGTGGTTCCAGTGGTGATCGGCACACTGGGTGCAGTGCCTCAAGACCTTGGCCTGCACTTAAACACAATTGGCACAGACAAAATTACCATTTGCCAGCTGCAGAAGGCCACCTTACTGGGATCTGCATGCATTATTCGCCGATACATCACACAGTCCTAGAAACTTGGGAAGTGTCCGATGTGTGATCCAATACAACAGCCAACAGAGTGATTTTGTTTGCTGTGGATTCATCTTGTTGTGTTTTAAATAATAATAATAATAATAATAATCATCATCATCATCATCATCATCATGATAATCATCATCATCACACCATCATCATCACATCAACAATAATAATAATATAAAAGGTTTAGGTAAAAGTTTCCCCCTGATATTAAGTTCAGTTGTGTCCAACTCTGGGGGTTGGTGCTCATCTCCATTTCTAAGACAAAGAGCCAACGTTGTCCGTAGACACCTCCAAAGTCATGTGGCCAGAATGACTGCATGGAGTACCGTTACCTTCCTGCTGGATTGGTACCTATTAATCTACTCACATTTGCATGTTTTCGAATTGCTAGGTTGGCAGAAGCTGGGGCTGACAGTCGAAGCTCACATCCCTCCCACAACCTGCGACCTTTCAATCAAGAACTTTAGCAGCTCAGAGGTTTAACCCACTGTGCCACTGGGGGTTGAGCTTATATTTATTTGGGGAAGTCCTGATGCTCAGCACCTAAATCTCCAGGATTAACTCCTGGCATCTTTGTCTGCTTCTCCTCTGAATTGATTTGCCTGCTGCCTTAATGTCAAGAGAAGATGCCTAGTCATGTGATTTATGGTGAAGAAGGGACCTTCTCATTGTTAACCTCATGGCTGGGACCTTGTTCGGAGCAAGCAATTTCCCAATGGAAAACCTGTTTGGCCAGGAAGGTGCTGTGGAAGTAAACGCAAGAAGAAGGCAAGGGTCAGGGACCTCCCTCCTTTCTATTTGTTTATTTGGTTGAGTAAATAGACCACCTTTCCCTTAAAGTTGGTTTCACTAACATGGGAAAGGTGATGAAAGAGCAAAGAGGCTGGTACTTTGTCAGGAGACACAGTAGATGTGGCTCTTAATGAGACATGCCGCATTATCACGGGGTGTCTGCGCCCTATAATAATAATAATAATAATAATAATAATAATAATAATAATAATAATAATAATCCTTTATTTATACCCCGCTACCATCTCCCGCAGGACTCGGTGGGGCTTACAAGAGGCCGAGCCCAAATACATCAAGAAAACAACAACGACAATAATACAGTACAACAATAAATAAACTCATAAACAAAGCAAAAAACAATAACGATAATATCACAATGCATTAAAAACCTGTAGCAGGGCCAAATGTAATGGTTAAAATTTAAAAAAATGCTAGGCATATCCAAGTGAAATAGGATAGATATTTTAGGGATAAGTGGGCGTGCAGACAATCCTAAATCTCTCATAAAGTGCATTTGGGACACATTGCTTGGATTTCCTTATTCTGTTTAGCACCACCTGACATCTCAGATTGGTGACATCTCAGGCAGGCTACAACACAGTCATCAATTACTTTATAATGCGTTACACAATGTCCAGCCAACCTGCCCAGAAAACAGCCACCCCAAAATGACCTAAACCCAATAACTTCCCTCTGCACATTCCCACATAATCCCAGCATGCCCGAAACCCAACCTTATGGCTTCTGCAATCCTTGCGCTCTCCTTTCGCCTGTCGCTGGATAATCTGCCAATTAAATAGGAATAATCTAAGCCACTGCAGAAGACGCTGCCCACTGCACTGAGAAGCAGGAGTTTGCTGTCGTCGGCGGATGCATTGCACAGGGCTCTCCGGACTTCCTTCATGATCTGCGGAGAAGCAAAAACAAGCACTTCTTTTGAACTGATAATCTAGATAATTGAGATTCTGCAAAAATGCCCAAAAGAGAGCCACATGGCTTTCAGAAGCAAGCAATAATTTTTGTAGCTATGTTTAAATGCTTTTTGCCCCCCTACATCGTTGATGGTCTTCTTAAGACTGCCCAATGTTACATATAATCACTTATAGATAAGCCATGCTGTGACAGCGCGGGTGGCGCCACCTATATGTAGAACTGTTAGTTGCAAGACTTAAACTGTTGTATCATGCTTAATCCTGCCTTTTTACCCTGCCTATGTATAGTTGGATTGATTGGTTATTTATAGCTGTCAATCAATGTTGTTTGCACCAGCTATATTGCTGCCTCAGCTCAATTGTTTGGCTCCACCTCTTCCTGGAGGAAGGGAGTGCTTTCCTTTTCCATTCCACCATCAGACTTTCTATCAGATGGATGTGAGAAAGAGACTTGGCTCTAAAAGCCCTTGATTAAGTTACCTCTCAGCACCAGTTCTGAGGTTCTTACCCTTGAGACTTATGCTTCATGTTCAGATCAACCTGGATGACGTTGGGAAGTCTCAAGCACCTTCAAACCAGTCCTTTGGCACCAGAGGAAGACTTTGTGTCTTCAAACATAGGCCATTTGGACTGGGGTTGTGGACTGCTTCCGCATTCACAGCCATTGAGAAAGAGGGACCTGGAAAAGCTTCTCAGCTGCAAAACTCCTTGGACCCAAGACAACCAGAGACTGTAATGTATATTTTCCTTTACCCCTTTGAAACTTCCAGCTTATTGCCTTAAAGGGATAACTCTATCTGAACAATAAAACCTGTTTTGAGTTATCTACAGTGTTTTGGTCCTTGGGAATTCCAGTTTTCCTAAAGGAGGGCAAGAAGCAATCCCCTGGGGAAAGATGTCACGTCCATGCCTCTTTCACTAAGAGTTATAACCCCCAGGTGCGACGGCACACATGCAACCATTATAGATAAGCTGTGCTGCACTGGAGACTAGGACGTGGAACAATGGCTTCAAACATGTAATGCTTCCCCTCTATTCTGCCTTGGTCAGATCACATTAGGAATCACACTGTGTCTGGGCATCACAAATGAAGAGAGATGTTGACAAACTGGAATGTGTCCAGAGGAGAGCGACGCAAATGATCAAGGGTCTGAGAACAAGTCCTATGAGGAACGGCTTAAAGAGCCTGGCATACTGTTTTTAAAATGTGTACTGTGATTGTAATGTTTTTCTAATGCTTGCTGCTGATTTTCATTCTTTTTATTGCATTTTGTGTATGTTTTAATTTGTATTTTTAGGCTTGTCCCTTGTAAACTGCCCCAAGTCTCCCCGGGGAGATGGTGGTGGGGTATAAAAATAAAGTTGTTGTTGTTGTTGTTGTTATTATTATTATTATTATTATTATTATTATTATTATTATTATTATTATTATTATGCCTACAGAACAGAAGCCTGAGAGGAGACATGATGAGGGCTATGTATGTATGTATGTGAGGAGAAGTCATACACATACTTATGTATGTGAGGAGAAGTCATAGGGAGGAGGGAGCAAGCTTGTTTTCTGCTGCCCTGGAGACCAGGATGCAATGGAACAATGGTTTCAAACTACAAGAAAGGAGATTTCACCTCAATATTAGGAAGAACTGTGAGAGCTGTTCAGCAGTTCAGCAGTGGAAGAGGTTCCTTCTTTGGAGGCTTTTAGAAACATAGAATGATAGAGTTGGAAGAGCCCCCAGTGGCGCAGTGGGTTAAATCGACAGGTTGCAGGTTTGAATCCGGGGAGAGGCGGATGAGCTCCCTCTATCAGCTCCAGCTCCTCATGCGGGGACATGAGAGAAGCCTCCCACAAGGATGATAAAACATCAAAACATCCAGGCATCCCCTGGGCAATGTCCTTGCAGACAGCTAATTCTCTCCCACCAGAAGCGACTTGCAGTTTCTCAAGTCGCTCCTGACACGACCAAAAAAAAAAAAAAGAGAGACCTCATGGGTTATCAAGTCCAAGAAGCAGGAAAATTGTATTCAAAGCATCCCCGACAGATGTCCATCCAGCCTCTGTTTAAAAGTTCCCAAAGAAGGAGCCTCCACCACACTCCAGAGCATAGAGTTCCACTGCTGAATGGCTCTCACAGTCAGGAAGTTCTTCCGCATGTTCAGATGGAATCTCCTTTCTTGTAGTTTGAAGCCATTGTTCCACATCCTAGTCTCCAGGGCAGCAGAAAACAAGCTTGCTCCCTCCTCTCTATGACTTCCTCTCATGTATGTATGCATGGTTATCATGTCTCCTCTCAGCCTTCTCTTCTTGAAGCTAAACATGCCCAGCTCTTTAAGCCGCTCCTCATAGGACTTGTTTTCCAGACCCTTGATTATTTTAGTTGCCCTCCTCTGGACACATTCCAGCTTAACATCTCTCTTCAATTGTGGTGGACACAATATTCCAAGTCTAAACAAGGCAGAATAGAGGAGTAGTATGACTTCCCTGGATCTAGACACTATATTCCTATTGATGCAGAGGTTGGGTGGCCATCTGTCAGGGGTGCTTTGAATGCAATTTTCCTGCTTCTTGGCAGAATGGGGTTGGACTGGTTGGCCCACAAGGTCTCTTCCAATTCTATGATTCTATGATTTATGGCTTCCCCAGCCTTTGCATACATGAACAATACAACTGGAGATGGACATTCAAGGGAACACTTCGACAGGTAGAGTAGGCGAAAAGGATCAACCGAGATAAAAGCTGACTTTAGCCTTCTGCTACCATCCTTCCCAGACTGTTTCCTCTTTGCTTTGCCGTTCACCTACATACCTCTGGAGTCAGTGCGTTGTTATCTGAGGTCTGACTGGAGAGGAGGATGTGTGTGAATCCGTCTTCTTTGCGCACAACAATGTCTCTGAACCGACAGTTGCTCTCATTTTGACGCACGCTGTACCTCAGTCTCTTATCAAAGACGTAATCCTTTTCCCCTTCCAATTTCCTTTTTACAGTGTTATGAAGGTTCAGGCTTCCATTGGTTAGGGGGGAACCTTTGAAAAGGAATAGATATCATTATTGCTAGAAATGCAATCACAAAAATAAAAAAAATTCCAGTATCCTGGATAACTAACAGTCCACAACATTACTAGTGGTTAGAGCACTGGTTCTCAACCTTCCTAATGCCACGACCCCTTAATACAGTTCCTCATGTTGTGGTGACCCCCAATCATAACATTATTTTCATTGCTACTTCATAACCACTTCATAAACGTGGTTGTTTGAGAAGGCGTTTGAGTAAGTGCTGCAACAATTGGCAATGACGATTGGAACGGAACATGGATAACGAGATTTGGATTGTGATTCAATGATGAGACATCGCGAATGATTTAGTGTAATTGTATTATTGATAGTGATGTTGTTTAATGTTGTTGTGATATTGCTTGTGTTGTAAATTGTACCTGATTTTACATGTTGTACACCGCCGTGAGTCGCCCTAGGGCTGAGAACGGCGGTCTACAAGTGCAGTAAATAAATAAATAAATAAATAAATAACTATAATTTTGCTACTGTTATGCAGATCAGATAATGTACCAAATTGGACCAAATTTGGCACAAATTTGGACCAAATTTGGCACAAATACCCCATATGCCCAAGTCTTAATACTCGTGGGGTTGAGGGGGGGATTGGTTTTGTCATTTGGGAGCTGCAGTTGCTGGGATTTATAGTTCCCCTACAATCAAAGAGCATTCTGAAGTCCACCAACGATGAAATTGAACCAATCTTGGCACACAGAACTCCCATGACCAGCAGAAAATACTGGAAGAGTTTGGTGAGTGTTGATCTGGAGTTTTGGAGTTGCAGTTCACCTACATGCAGATTGCACTGTGGATTTAAACAATGGTGGATCTGGACCAAACTTGGCGTGACTGAGCAATACGCCGAAATATGACACTTGTGGAGTTTGGGGATAATAGACCATGACATTTGGGAGTTGCAGTTGCTGGGATTTATAGTTCACCTACAATCAAAGAGCATTCTGAACCCCACCAACAAAACTTCCCACACAGAATCCCCATGATCAACAGAAAATAATGTGTTTTCTGATGTTCTTTGGTGACCCCTCAGACACCCCTCGCAACCCCCCTAGGTATCCCGACCCCCCAGGTTGAGAAATGCTGTAATAGAGTAAAATTATAAAAGCAATAATAATAAAAATAGAGAAAACTACCAGTAATAAATCTATATATATAAGAAGCTTAAGGTCGTAATTAAGTGGTCAAAAACGGAGAAACCACTGGATGAAATCTCACCAAATTTGGCCTGGTAATACCTCTTCCCCCAAGGTATGACCAACAACCCTCCAAACACCGATACGCAACAACACAAACTCACATTACCCTAAAAACACGGAGCATGCGCAGAGGCCTCAGGAGGAATACGATGAGGAGGATGGACTCCATTTCTCAGCTTCCCCCGTGCCCAAGTCTCCCTCCGCATGCACAATGCCGCCTGCCTGCCTCCCTTTCTCCATTTTTGAGCACCTAAGGACGCCCTGAAGATTTCTGTATTATAATTATTCTATATATATTACTTATAACAACAGTACAATTAAGGTATTATTTTACACACACACACACACATATATGAAGGAACAGATCTCCATCCCAAATCAGTACTCTCTCCCTGGTCCACAGCGGAAGTAGGCCCAAACGTTTCCCAATGCTGGAACTCCATTTCCCAGCCACCCCGGAGGCACTTCTGGTGAGCGGGTGGGCGTGGCGGCGGCGGCGGATCCGGCTGGACTCGGCTATTTCTGGAAGCGGCCCGGCACTAAGCTCACTTCGGCGTCTCCCTCCGCCGCCTTGGCCTCAGCCTGGGGTCCCGCCCGCCCGCTTGCTCTCCCGATGGTGGAGAAGGCCTGAGGCGCGATGGAGGCCGTGCCACGGATGCCGATGATGTGGCTGGACCTCAAGGAGGCTTCGCCTTCCAGCCGGCCGTCAAGAAGGTCAGGCCTGGAGGGAGTCGGGGAAGGCTCTCGCGGAGGGAAAGGCCCAGTGCGGAGGGAAAAATAGTCCCTGGGAGGGGGCGGGGAGGCAGGCCTCGAGGGCCTAATTAGGGGCAACAGACCTAGGAGGGAGACCCAGAGGGCACCCAGACCGACCCTCTCCCACCACCAAGGAAGCCGCCACAATAATAATGTTTACTAATAGCAACCTTCTTCCAGCCTTTTGTATATGATTCTGTTTGCTTACTGTATGGTCTATGTATGTTTTGGTATGCAGCTTTCCCTTGAGTCTATGTTTCTGGAGGTTGTCCCTTCACCAGGGCAAGAAAACGTAATCAAAACCCTCCTGACAGAGAGCCATCCAGCCATAGATATAGATAGATATATATGATTCATACACACACACACAGATAAAGTATTATAGATTTGAAAGGGACTCCTAAAGATGGACAATTATATGTTGCATGTTCCATAGTAGGCAAACCAGACAATCTCTACGTCAACACTGACAAAGAAACAACAAGAAATACTGTTTACCCACAAGTAGAATCATAGAATCAAAGAGTTGGAAGAGACCTCATGGGCCATCCAGTCCAACCCCCTGCCAAGAAGCAGGAATATTGCATTCAAATCACCCCTGACAGATGGCCATCCAGCCTCTGTTTAAAAGCTTCCAAAGAAGGAGCCTCCACCACACTCCGGGGCAGAGAGTTCCACTGCTGAACGGCTCTCACAGTCAGGAAGTTCTTCCTCATGTTCAGATGGAATCTCCGTCTCTTGTAGTTTGAAGCCATTGTTCCGCGTCCTAGTCTCCAAGGAAGCAGAAAACAAGCTTGCTCCCTCTCCCTGTGGCTTCCTCTCACATATTTATACATGGCTATCATATCTCCTCTCAGCCTTCTCTTCTTCAGGCTAAACATGCCCAGTTCCCTAAGCCGCTCCTCATAGGGCTTGTTCTCCAGACCCTTGATCATTTTAGTTGCCCTCCTCTGGACACATTCCAGCTTGTCAATATCTCTCTTGAATTCTTAGACACTATGCTCCTATTGATGCAGGCCAAAATCCCATTGGCTTTTTTTGCCGCCACATCACATTGTTGGCTTCTGTTTAACTTGTTGTCCACGAGGACTCCAAGATCTTTTTCACACGTACTGCTCTCGAGCCAGGCGTCCCCATTCTGTATCTTTGCATTTCATTTTTTCTGCCAAAGTGGAGTATCTTGCATTTGTCACTGTTGAACTTCATTTTGTTAGTTTTGGCCCATCTCTCTAATCTGTCAAGATCGTTTTGAATCCTGCTCCTGTCCTCTGGAGTATTGGCTATCCCTCCCAATTTGGTGTCGTCTGCAAACTTGATGATCCATGCCTTCTAGCCCTTCATCTAAGTCATTAATAAAGATGTTGAACAGGACCGGGCCCAGGACGGAACCCTGCGGCACTCCACTTGTCACTTCTTTCCAAGATGAAGAGGAAGCATTAGTGAACACTCTCTGTGTTCGTCTACTTAACCAATTACAGATCCACCTCACCGTAGTTTTGCCTAGCCCACATTGTACTAGTTTCCTTGCCAGAAGGTCATGGGGGACCTTGTCGAAGGCCTTACTGAAATCCAGGTACGCTACATCCACGGCATTCCCCACATCTACCCAGCTTGTAGCTCTATCGAAGAAAGAATAAAGACATTACAGCACTTTCTAATTACTTTATTTTCCATATCACCAGACTGGGCCACAGCAACGCGTGGCAGGGGACCGCTAGTGTAATAATAATAGAGCAGAATAACACACAAGTAATAAAATCCTAGAGATTAAAGATATGGACAAATTAACTTTTTGTTGAGAATTTGAATTTGAATTTTTTAAACCTCTATTTTCCTACTTTCCTATTCCCTAATGTTCTCCCACTTTCCCTATAAAACTTCTATGTTTATATAATGCAATTTTTTTATAAAATAATAATAAATACAGTAAAATAATAAATGTAATAAAAATAAAATAATAAATATAATAAAATGTAATAAAAAAGTAAAATTAAATTCTGAACCCCACCAATGATAGAATTGGGCCAAACGTCCTACACAGAACCACCACAATTTATTATACTCACCCCCTCTGCCAAGATTATGACGATGCATTAATGTGTTCTTTTAATTATCCAAAAACATTAGATATTTAATCTATATAAATAAAAATGTTATGTTCATTTGTGGTATGAATACCTGGGAGTCACTCTGGACCGTTCTCTGACCTACAGGAAGCATTGCCTGAACATCAAACAAGACGTGGGTGCTAGAAACAATATCATATGAAAGCACAACCTGGGGATCACAACCAGATACAGTGAAGACATCTGCCCTTGCGTTATGCTACTCTGCTGCTGAGTATGCATGCCCAGTGTGGAACACATCTCACCACACTAAAACAGTGGATGTGGCTTTTAGTGAGACATGCCGCATTATCACAGGGTGTCTGCGCCCTACACCACTGGAGAAATTACATCCGCCAGGAAGTTGCAGCCAATAGTGAAAGGACCAAGGCAGAGACATCTCCAGCTCATCCCTTGTTTGGGTATCAGCCAGCACGTCAACGACTTAAATCAAGAAATAGTTTTCTTAGATCTACAGAGACACTCGCTGGAACACCTCAGCAAGCGAGAGTTCAAAAGAGGCAGGCTCAAACCCAGCACCTCAATCTGTGGGTGATACCAGATGAGAGACCCCCCTGGCACACAGAAGACTGGGCGACTTGGAAGGCGCTGAACAGACTGTGCTCTGGCACCATGAGATGAAGAGCCAATCTTAAGCAATGGGGCTACAAAGTGGAGTCCACGACATGCGAGTGCGGAGAAGAGCAAACCACAGTCCACTTGCTGCAATGCAACCTGAGCCCTGCCACATGCACAATGGAGGACCTTCTTATAGTAACACCAGAGGCACTCCAAGTGGCCAGATACTGGTCAAAGGACATTTAATCAGCTACCAAGTTTGCAAAATTTGTGTTGTTTTTTTTAATCTGTTTGTTTGTTTTGTTCTGTTAGAAATGCAAT